TGAACTTCCTATGAAGCAATCATATTTTCTCTCGTAATTATATTTTCTCCGATCTCAACCTTATTTATTACTTCTATTCTACTGTATTTCTTAACACTAATCATACCAAGACTTGATATATACCTATTTCTACCATAGTGGGTCAAATGACCCAACTTTATGTTTCATGCTTGAATGTATGAAATATGGATGTTAAGAAGGATATAAAAATATAAATTAAATTTATTATGATTAAACAAAATAGTATGTTGAGCATTTTTATTACAAAAGCAAAAAATAAAAACTTTTAATTCATAGTTCATCGCAGTGGTGCTCTTCCAGGTGTGCCACCTACTTGCATTTGTTGCCAAACAGATCCATCATTCGCAACATTTTCTTCATTTATTTCTACTTCACTTTCTTCCGAACTTGTGAGTAATCTTATTCTTTTTCGGCCACTACATACATTCACAATATTTTCCTCTTCATCGTCAGTATCTGTAGAATCAAACTCATTTTTATTTGCAACCGATATATCTTCATTTTCAGAAAATTCATCTTCACTAATTTCTGAAAACTCTTCGCCAATATTATTTATATCTTCTAAGAACTTGTACTGTCTTGTTTGCTTCGACATTTTTCTGGGTAAAAAATGATCTGTATTACTATAGCTATCAAAATAAAATATAAGCTAGGTACTTACCAAGATTTTCAATTTTTGCCACTTTTTCTTACTCTAAAAAGCTATTTTCAATCTAAAATTTGATATTTTCTTGAAATTATTCTGAGCTATTTTCGTTGAACTACTTTACGCAACAGTCTTTGGAAGAATGTGCAACTTACTGACTACAAATATGACTAGATAATCTCATAAAACAAAAAAATTCTCTTCGGGTCAAATGACCTGTTGTGGTAGATATCGGTATACAACAAGGATTACTCAGAATAAACAAAACAAAAAAATTTTTATAACTGTACATTAATTACTTAGAAAAAGTCATGAAGTCAAATGTGCAAACGCAATAAAATTATACGTGCATTTTCAATGGAAAATTTCAAAATGGGTCATTTGACCCGTTATGGTATGTTTAGTGTTAACACACCTATATCACAATTATCATGATCAGTTTATTGTTGCAATCAGTTTCAGATAGCTTTGGAAATTCTACATAAAGCTAATTATATCTTCTGATGATTGTCTAATTTATTATAAGATTTAATTTGTATTATTTAATGAAACCTTAAAAATGTATTGTATTTGTCATATATTATACGGTGTATATGAAATCCGTGGCACCAATTAATTTTTATGAAAGTGTAGTTTTAAGAATTAACTAGGATTTGTTTTTATTGATCACTTCCATGGAAAATTAATTGCTATCTAATTTTGTATTATTCATATAACCCTTACATTTATGATAATCAATTTTATAATTATCAAGATCGACTTATGTGCATGATATAATATAATTTCTTGTTTTAATGTGAACCGAACACGAAAGTTATACTTCTTAAGTTCATTCAATTTTGAGTGTCATTAATAATCAATAAATTGCTTGTCCTATATGTTATGTGATGATCAGGAGTCCAGAAGATTGGCAAGTTTAAAGTTTCGTTCTATCAATTTTCATTTATTTAATTTTGTTTGCATATCCAGATGATTGAGATATCGTCTATATTGTTTTGAAGTCACTAGGTTCGTTCTTATCATTATTTTATCCCTTTAATTTATAATTGAAATGTTTAAACTTATAACTAGTTCTTTTGTTGATTATTTAAATAACAGAGTAGCCATTGGGAGATTGAAAATATTGGGATATTTTTGACACTTCCTTTTCACAAGTATTTGAATCTATAGAAAACATTTTTACAAATATTTTTGGTGTAGTTTTATGAGTTAATGAATGTTATTGTTGTGTTCTTTAAAAAGACAATGCTTAGTCAAAGCGAATGTTCAACAAATTATCAAATTTTACATACTCTTTTTGTGTTGAATATTCAACCTCTACATAGGCAATGTTTTCTATTATCCATTCAAAAAGTTAAAAAGCAGTTTGAATTTGGTTTACATAGGCAAACTGGCACGAGTGCTTGTCTCTTTACTGAGCTCCCTATCCCATCACAAGGTTCTTTGCCATGAGTATGATTAATAGCAGATCCACTAACTCTATACAATAAAAATAACATCAATAATTAATAAAGAGTTAAATTTTTGGAAATCGAACATTAGTTTCTATTTTTTTAGCAATTAAGCCTTTGTCATCCCATATTTATACTTTGTCCTATGATATACTACAACACTATCTATAAAATTTTGAAATATGTACTTTCAGAGAAAGTAGAAATTTTAAATTGGATTTAAAAAAAAAAAAAATGATTACCCTATACATTTTAATATATAATACGAAAATTATATTTAAAATACTGTAAAATGACATTGTAAAAAGACCTCTAGCCAACAAGTAGACTTATCATAGTAAAATTTCATGTTTCTCAATGTCTACAAATAGTACAACCGTGTTGAATTAACATGAAATGACCCAACTGCAACATAAGAAATATGTTGTATATTATTATAAACATTTATTTTATATGAAAAGGAATTGGTCTGGGGGTGGGGTCAAATAAATACTAAATTTTTAAAAAGTAGTATTTTTAATTACTCCTACGTTTCGACCCATCTTGCAGGTCTTCATCAGGGCATGGCATGTGGCACTGCAGGAGCCAGTTTTCTGAAGAGACTGGAAGACTGGAGTCTATCAACTGCCACATGTGTGTGTAGTGCCACATGCCACATCCTGATGGAAACCTGTAAGGTGGGTCAAAACGTTGGCGTAATTAAGAATACTACGCTTAAGATATTATATTTAAATAATTAGGTATCAGTCGTCCGTTTATTCCGAAAAATCATCATGTAATCTTTCAGAAAATTAAATTAGTGAATAATTTGATGAATTTTCTCTTTGTGATATTCCAACAGTATCTACTTCCATTAGTGTGACAACTTTTGACGTGTCTAAGACAGACAATGTAAATCTCGTAATTCAATTTTAGCAAATTTCGCAAAAGAAAATAACTGTTTAATAACTCAGAGTCATACAATCCATAATCAACAGATTGTAAAACCCATATTCAACCGGTGATATAATAAATAGGACTTTTGTTATTTTAATAGTATTTATGATTTGTTAGCTGTAAGATTTTAGCTTTAGCTCGGTTAAAAATGCAATTAAAAGATTTTATAATAGCCCAACACGACCAGAAAGTAATTTCTATTCAAAGTTGTGCGGTAAGTGAAAGTTGTGTGTTGCGCGCATCAGATTTTTTATTTAAATCTGTGGAAATATTTCTCTCCTTTTAGTTATCATTAAATCCTTTCATAATTCATATTTATCTAGTTTATACTACTGCTAACAATGCGAGGCCTTTAATTTTTTCTTATAAATATGATTGAAAGTACTTTGGTTGAGGAAATTTGAAAAAAATTTGGCATTTAAGCACTTTCAGATTAATTCAATGAGGATATGATCTAAATGATATTTAAGTCAATTTAATTTTATGTCTTTAGTAAGGAGTTTAGTCAAAATCGTTTTTTGAAAATTCTGTAAAAATGTGTAAAATCGATTATATGAAGTGGCTCTTCTGGTTAGTTAATATTAGTGAAAACTTGCTGAAAATACCAGGTATATAACTTACTTAAATAAGTAATCTCAGTGTCTTAACATCTTAGTTTTTGAGCTATGCTGTCCGCATATTCAAGATGACCTTAAAATATGTATTTCTAATGAACACTCTGATTCAGATTTTTTCACTATCGCAATACTCTCCCTTACTATACATTTTATGTGTGGGTAAGTAAGAAATAGAACTAAACGATAAAGTACAAAAGCAAGGAAAAGCCCAATATTTTGTTTAACTTTTAGTTATATAGTTTTTTGAGTTAATTGGTTGTCATTTATTTAAAGATACAATCTTAGTGTTTAGCTTTTCTTTTTCTATTGGCTTTACAGACCTTGTAGATCTTCGACCACCTTATCCATCCTTCTCCATATCTGCCTATCTTAGGCTGTTTCTTTCCCGTTATCTGCATGCAGCTCTACAGCGTCTTTGTTGATTCAATCTATCCGTGTTTTTGCCTTAGTGTCCGATATTGAGTCTTATTGCATTATTACATGTATTTCTTGATATAATGGTTTTGCTTTTTATTAGAAGGTGTTTTGTCAATGTTATGGAGATAACAAATAAAGAATTAAATTTTTAATTGTATATTACCAATAAATATAAAAATATAGCTGTACTATTAGGTAACAAAGTTTTCAAAATACACAGTTTCACTACTTTACTTATATAAAAAAATGTATACATCATCATTATGAATTATTTCTTTGATATGTGTCAAGACAGTTATAAATTTGGTATTGTAATGATGTGTGCCTCTTATGTATGCATGTTTATAATGTATTTACTTCACAGATGTAGAGGACCAATGTTGAATAATATTGAGTTATATTTTTTTTTATAATTAAAAGTTAATCCGTGTATCATCACAAAGTAAATCATTGATAATTTTTTATGTTAATTAATTAATCAGGACAGTTTTTATAGTTTTATTTTGCTTTTTAAATATTCTATCAATTGTTACTACATTATGCCCATAGTTTTATTATCGTTTTTAAATTTCCTTAAGATTTTATTAATCTTGGTGATAAGACTTTTAATCCATTAATTCTGGAAACAATAATGAAAGTACAGTGAGCTGTCTTTCACTAGCATATTACAGAAAATTAGAAATTTTCTTTGCCTAAAATAAAATGTTATGATCATTTTTATCAGCTTTCAAAGTTAGAATTAATTACTTTAATTTGATAATATTATTCTTAAAACTTTAATTTTAATTAAATTGTCTTGTGAGATATGATAGAGATTCAATATCTCCTTTTTTCAATTTTTAATTCTTATGTTCTATTTGGTTTGATTGAATCTTTTTAATATCCATAATAGTGCTTTGATCGTATTATTATAAAGTTACATATGTATTCCTAGATCTAGAGCAGAAAAATATGTGGTTATTAAGTAAACAAGAAAATAAAGTAAGATAAAAATTTTATTTTTCATATTTTTCCTTAATAGGAAATATAAATCCTTTACAAAAATAATTATATCAAATTTTTTATATACATTAAGACAACAATCCAAGGTTTGAACCATGGCACTTACATTTATTCAATAAATATTTTTTTTGTAAAATAATCTTCTATTTGTACTATAAAAACTATATATACAGTCTTCTCAAATAAATAAAAAAATACACTATTAGGAAAATAAAAATATTTACAATTAAATTATGCATATAGCTATATTGGTGCAATATTCAGAAGTAAAAACTCCTGTCTCAAAAACATTCTATCATACCAAATAGAAAAATAAGATATTAATAGGAATATCAGATCTTTGGTATCTCACTTAACAATCTACAAGTGCACCATTAAGTACACAAAGGCACACACATCAAGCATCAACAAATTTACATTGGAATATTCAATTATTTTAATATGGATGGAATGCTTTTGATTTCACAATAAGACAAAATGTGCACTCTTTTTATCACAAAATATTGCTTTGGGCCTATAGGTAAACATCACAGTCAGATTGGCTTTTCCTATTATTTTTGTTTATGGCTTTTCAGTCTAGTTGAAATATCCTATTAGTTTACAACATTGATGGAAACGGTTTCAAATATGCTAGGGAGTTTATCTTCTTCAATGATTTGATAGACAGCCTGCTCGACCGCCTCCTCGCCATTAAATTGTTCTCTATGTCTTCAAGTGTCCTCCCCTGCGTCTCTGGAACCATTTTGTATGTAAAAATCAGTCCGATTGCGCAGATTATTGCGAACATCAGGAATGCCGAGTGTGTGCCAAAAGCCTTGCTCATGTCAATGAATGTTTTTGTTACGATGAATGTGCATGTCCAATTGAAAGCTGTGACTATGGATGCGGCAGTACCTCTTACTTTTGCTGAAAATAAAAATAAAAACATTTATTATAAACAAAGTTTTCATAAAATGCTTATATTTAAAATTCTATATATTTCTGTTTACTAAACGTTTTAAAGCAATGAAATCAATTTTAATAAATGTTTTAATTACATGGTAATATTTCTCCCATCATGAGCCATGGAATCGGTCCTGCTCCAATTGCGAAACCAAATATAAAGATGACAAATGCTGGGAGGGGTACCCAACCATATTGTTCCATATCATAACCATTAGCTTTGCCGTAGAAGAAACCTCCCAAAATAAGCAGCGTGACAGTCATCAAAGAATTAGATATGTAGAGCAATATTTTCCTTCCAAGTTTATCTATCAGCACTGTTGCGACCAATGTCGAGGCGAGGTTGACTGCACCAACAATTATTGAGCATAGGTTTGAATCAATTGTGCTACCAGCATCCTGAAATCAAAAACCAAAAACTATTAGTGGTCTTGTTTCCTGTTCATGATTCACTGTGTCAGTCAGTTATTGTAATATTTAAATCAAAAGCTAACAGTAATTATATTCGAAATGATCTATCTATGTTTACAAGATTTATAAAGTATCGTAAAAAAATAATATATCAAGTTTTTTACCTTAAAGATTGTAACTGTGTAGAAGATGACTGCATTGATTCCGCTGAACTGTTGGAAGAACATCAAGCCGATTGAAATAACAAATGGCAAATAGTATTTTTTGCTAAACAACTCCTTGAGAACATTGTCATTTTGTTCATGGTAGGCTTCTTTGTGTGCTTTAAGGATGTTCGCCATTTCTTCATGAACATTTGCTTTTTTTCCCCTTAGCCACTGCAGAGAAGCTTCTGCTTTCTTTTCGTTTCCTAACAAAGAAAATGGTTCCATTATAAGGATTTTAATGTTTTTATAAGAATTTTGAATAATCAATCCAATAATTTAAATTATTTCGTGTTTATTTTAAATTGGTATTTACCTCTGTTGATGAACCAAGTTGGTGTCTCAGGTATAAGTATTGTGCAAATAAAGAAGGGAATTGGCAGACATGCGCCAAGAAGAGCCAGATTTGTCCAATCTAGATAAGTTCCAGCAGTGAATGACACCAAAATTCCTGAAAAAATCGTTTAATTTTTTAAACTGATGCTAAATATATATATATACATTTTTTTTTTTTCAATATAGATTTCTATACATACCCATATTTCCTAGTGTTGTTGGTAAAAGTCCTAGTGTTCCTCGTACCCTGGCTTCTACAGTTTCACCAAGGTATACTGGAAGGGCAAGAGAAGCAATCCCCACACCTAATCCAGTCAGGGATCTACCCGCCATGATGAGAGAAACGTGTTGGGCGAAGTAAATCAACAAAAACGCTGCAAATTAAAGAGTATACATAAGTATGACTAGTTTCTAGTATTTATTTGTCTTTACTTCAGTTTTGAGAGGCAAATTAACTAGTAAATATTCCGGTACTTACAGACACAAAAAGGAATGGCAGTCATTATGATGGTGTTTCTCCTTCCCACGTTTTCAATAAGGGGACCTCCTATGATCCCACCAAACAGAGCTGACAAGGGCATGAGGCTTCCAATCCAAGATGCCTGAAATAAGATAGAACCATAAATATATTCTATTTTTTTTTTCATGTGTAATAATTAGTCTGAGCTTTTGTCATGGAATCAACTTACCTCTGATGCTGTTATGTGAAGTCGACTGCCTTCATCGTTCATCGATTCCAAAGCTGGGGATGTAAAGGCGGAAGAAAAGCCGACGACCATTGAACCTAAGGATACCGCCAGAGCCGCAAGGACCTGAAGAAGAAACTTGCCTTAGTAAATATACCAAAACCTTTGAGATAAGGCAGTTTGTATTCACTAACGCATTAACTTTGTGGCAGTCATGGTTTTGAAAATTATTTTTGTTTAGAGCGATTTGAATGCCCATTATTAAAACACGCCAAACCTGTTGTGGGGCACACCTCCATTCTACCCATTCGTCTTCATCATACAAGAGAGCTTGACTGGGAAATATGAGGCTGTAATGCGTATCGGATCGCAGCAGAACCATCTTGCCTTTGGTAAGTGCGCATCCGCGTGTCTTAATGCGTTACTGAAACCTGGACCTTTCCAGTTAGTTATTCTTTGAGATAAACCATTTTGTGCGAACAGATTTCATGATTTTGCAACTTTTTGGATGGAAATAATTTCAAAGATTATAATTTGGTTAACAAGTTAGTTGAAATCACATTCTATATTATTATACATATGTCCCCATTTTAGTAAATATAATTGATATGATTAATGAGGTTATTAGAATGAAAACTTTTTTACGTTTAAATGAATAAATTTATTATATAATAAATAAATTTTAAAATCTTAAAAGAATATTTCAATGGATATTTGTTTATATTGTAATTTAAAACCAACTATATTACTGCTGTTTTATTTGTTATTTAAAAAGAAAATCATCTGTAGTACGTTACAATTTATTTTTAAATATTATAATAAAATTCTAAAAAATATTTGAATCAACATCTCTGTTTGAATTGCGTAACTATATAGGAATGATGACAAAACATTATATTAAAGGATTATCTTCAATCTGTAACTAATCGGGAGTCCTTCGTATTTGTTTTTTTAATGCATGGCTTATTCGTACGGTTTATATAATGGTTGAGTAGCAATTTAATACATTTATATCACAATATTTAAATGTTTAAAAATATTCGTTTACTTGAAAGAAGACAACAGTTTTAGTTAATGCGTTAGAGATTATATTACTACCAAACTCATCACAATACTTGTTATGAGTGAATTATAAAATTGATTGAAATAAAAACCAAAATTACCTGCTTCACCAAAGATCCTCGACTGGACGTTTGCGGGATCTTCTCCACTGAAGGGTCTTCCATTTCTATTTTCTTGCCTGATTCCATGTCTGGTTGGGACGCTAGCAAGATGTTGAGTTCTTTCTGGGTCAGCTTGTCCTGTTTATTGGAACTCTTGAGGTACTTCTTCACCTTGACTCCAAGAAGGACCGATGTGCTCCCTGTGGTCGCTACTGATGCATTCGACGAAGTCGCTGAAGAAATTATACTTGGAGGATCCCTTGATTTCACGCCTATAAGTATAGATTCCTCCCCTTCTCCCTGTTGAAAAATAGAAAAAAAAATTGTTTATAGTAAACTGTGGACACGGTTCATTTGTGGAAATAATAAGACAGATTTTTTTTTTTTTTTTTTGTACTTTCCGATTTTACAGACTAACCTTGGATATGGTAAGAAAATTCCCGATCAACAAATCCTAACTAATTTGTTAACAGACTGATCTAGCTGCCCTATCCGGGACAAATATATGCTCACGAAAACCCTGATAATTTCCGATAAGAATGTTTGGGATCATGATCTTTATTCATGGTTGCCTTTGCTAAAGACACTGCACTCATTTTTTTTTGTTTCTATATCTTTATAATTTGATAATCCAGTATTGCGTTTTTATTAATGAATACGGATTATTGATTAAATGTTGATAATTTGTGAATATAGAAGACTTCGTTCCACTTTATTTATGTTTATAATTTTAGTTTTAAGCTGTTAAAGTATGTTTGGGATCTAAATCAATTATTTTCTTGGCTATAACAAATGTATTTGAGCCTGTCAACTTTGTCAAAAATCAGCAAATCTGCTCGAAATATAAGATATAAATGATAGTAAAGGGTCGTTATTGGTTGGTCAACTTTTGGAAGGTGGAAGTCAGTATGTAGAGTTTTGTAGCAACGTACCGTGGTGCTTTTGTTACGAGTCGCAATAATTTTGATTGGAAGTTCTGAAGTTTTTGTAGGAGGGTCTTAATAAATAATAAAGAAAAATTCAACAAATGAATATTCACCTAAATATAAACATCTCCCTTTTATTTTTTTTTTTAATTAAGAACTTTATTTTTGCAGGAGAAATATGAGTGAACTTTTTAAAAAATATATATATATATATTTGTATGGACATTTTTCTAATTTATTTGTGATAATTCCATTTAAGACTTAGTTTTAGTAGAACAGTATTGTCCACTTTTTATCAAATTATTAACGTCCATGCAAATTTCGTGAATGGCCTCGTCTCATAGCAACCTCCAACTATTTTATCTACGAATTTTCCAGAAACGGGGCGTTTTTTCATTGAATTTATTAATTTAACGATTTATTAAAATCTCATGAATACCCTACCCGTTTGCTTTCCACTTGAATCGCAAGGTAACATGATCACTCGGAAAAAAATGGTGGCCTTCAAAAATATTGGGCCGTTTAGTTCATATAATTTCGTTATTATGACATTTGAAGGGTGGAGGTCACTCCAACCGTCCCAGTGTGTTTGTAGGCCACACTTTTTCTCAGTTTTGTGATGAAATTATTTCTCGATTCAAGTGAGAAGCAAATGGGCATTCATGAGTTTTTCGTACCTCATTAATTAGACAAAGTTTGCCGATCTCCAAAATGAAAACGTCCCATTTCCAAGAATTTCCGTAAATAGAAAAATTGTTGGTTACGATAACATGAAGTTATTCACGAAGTTTTATTCAGATATTAATAATTTTATTAAAATGGGTCTGTACCACGTACTAATAGAGGGGGGAATTATTGACAATATTTTGATTTATTTTTAAATAAGAATGAACATAATGGAAATTGAATTTTTTTTTAACAGTTTGTTTTAGGAATTTTCTTCGCTTTCATTTATTTTGAATCGGTTTGCGAGTCATCGTAATTAATAGCTTAATTATTTCGCTTAATAAATTTTCTCAGAACACATCCTCATTTCACTTCATGATTTTTTTTTATAGTTTTTTTTTTTTTTTTTTTTAGTATCAGCTAATGGTGGGAATCTCCATCACTCTGCCCTCGATTAGTGATATTTCAGTGTATGATGTCCCGTTCGAATCTAAGGTCAAAAGGGGAATAAGATAATTTTGTTTTGTTTTGTAATGCAAGAAATATTTCCGAAATTTGTATATAGTTATATTTGTGAAAAAATATTTACTATGATTTCTAAGTTACATTAAATATATTTGATATAATTTAATGATCTTGTATATTCTTATTATATTATTTATAATTAGAATAATAATTACTGCTTTAAAATAATAAACGGCTTATTAAATATTATTTTTATTACATATTATCAATCGTAAATAACGTTTTCTGTGTAAAATTTGATTCTAATGATATATATATTTCAATTTTAAGATCTGATTCGTTATTTTGATTTCATCTTTTTGATCTGTGATTTAGCTCGTGATTTTTATCCTTGATCTTTAACCTGTTTCATCCAGACTAGTTTACACAGAACACTGATAATCTAATATATATAAAAAATAAATAATATAACAATTGCGTCTTAAACGGTAAACATTCTTAAAGTTTTATGAAATTTTAAATGACCTTGATTTTCTTTTTGAGAAATTATTTTTTATAAAAAAAATTTTACTGCTATAACTTGAAATATTTTGTAAAATTCGATTGTGAAATATTATAAAAATACTAGATAAGTAATTTATATAATAGTTGTTGATAGATGATTGTATGAAAATAAATCATTGTGTATGGATTTCCGTATGTTGCAAGGTTCAGATATCATAAAAAAAAAGATAATAATTTTTTAATAATTATTCCCTTTTATTTTAAGTGTTATTCTTTAAAATGGTTTAGTAGTTGTAGTTTTATCTTATTTTCATATTGTCTCAAGTTCAAATATTAATGTTTTGTTTAATATTATTTAATTTAAATATTTATACTAGAGTTAATAGTGCTGCCATCTGTGTTTGGACTAGAGCATTACGACCCCTGCCAAAGGCTACATATACACCTCCCACATCTACTCAATGGACAGCAGGAATAGCATATCCTTGATGCCTAGACTCTTTTATATATAATGTTATATTTAAAACGAGTGTTTACGAAACAAATATACATTACAAAAAAATATATATGTATTGGTTAATTAAGATATAAAAAAAGAGTAAGGAGTGAAATCTGAACATTATTTTAATAGCTTAAATAGTTGATTATGTTACTCTTACTTATTGTTTTTTTTAATTCGATAAAAAATTAATAATTTATACCAACAAAAAAAAGTATTTTTAAGAATTGGACAAGTCATGACGGAATTTCTGATGAAATAAAATGGCCGAAACTACAAACTTGTTGGTTATTTGAAGCGACACCATTTTGAAAAAAAATTCTTTGCAACGTGGCAAACATGCCATTTGTATTGAAATGTTAATCGAAAATATATTTATTCACAACGTAGCGTTAACGTAAAGAATAATTTAAGAGGAAATATTCGATATGTTTTAAGATTGTTATAAAAAAAATTAATAGTTTATTACATACTAGGCAGTATTTTAAAATAAAAACTGAGATACTTTTATATAAATTTTTTTGTATATTTTTCAAGAAGTAAAATATAAATTAAAATTTTTATAACTTTTCTTTAGACAAAGATGATTAGTTTTTTTTTAACAAAAAATATAAAAAATGCAATTTAAATATACAAAATAAATTACAAAGTCGAATAGGTATCTATTCTATATTTTAAAAATAATATATATTTTTAAACCAGGTATTGTTTATAATAAGTTATACTAACATTATAATTTTAAATTATTAAAAATTTCTAGATGATTCATAATAATAATAATAATATATAGTTATCTTATGGTAAGCAAATGAATGTCAAATTATAAAATGAAGTAATAAATTGTATATATATATAATAAAATAAAAATAATAATAATAAGTTATAAATTAAAAAAAAAATAAACAATTGTTTCGCATTGCTGCATTATGTCTTTAACTTAACATTGCTGTTGAATAAAGGACGGAAGTATACAAAATTTAATATTAAATAAATTTATTGAAATAAATTAAAAAGATTATAAGTTATTTCCCGTATTTCTTTTAAGGTGCATCATTTACTGTTGTTTTAAGTATTAGTTACATCTTAACAGTTACCATAACGAATACATGGAAGTTTTTTTTTCGTTTTTTTTATTTCTACTTAGATATTTTAATTGAACAAAAATAATTAAAAGCGACTTTGATTTTTTTTTTTTTTTTAAATGAAGGTTAAATGTTTGTATTCCCTCCATTTATATATTAAGGTAGGCCACATTTCCACCTCTCTCCCGGTAACCTGTAGAACGTTCTAGACTTAAAGGGGCATGGACTATAGGAACTTTCCAAGATGCACTTATACGCATCTGTTGAAATGCTTAATATCTCGTTTTAAATTAGTCAATAAATAGTTATAATAATATCATATTCATACACAGTGTTACAACAAATATATTATATTATTTAATAAAATAAATTCAAAGCATGATTATAAACTCCTCGTATGTATGCTGCATCGTTCAATTTTTTTTTTTTTTTTTTTTGCATTTATCAGTTAAATTATAACAGGAACCGAATACAAAAATGGCGGTCTTTGCGTTTAAACAAGTCTTTCTTGTTCGTTCGTGTAAATATTTTTAGTAAATTGATAAAATAAAAAAAAATAATATTTTTTTTTATATCATTATTCGAGATTGCATTGTTGTCAACACTGAATATTTTAAATTGAGTAAAGGGCGTTAAAAAAAATAAATAAAGGAACCAATAATAAATCGTTTCGTTGTTATTAAAATAAAATGTGCTGACTATCGTATTATTAAGCAACGTTGAAAATGTTTCACAATATAATATCTTTTCAGAGGTTAATACTTAAACATTTTTTATTTTATATATATATCGCTACTGTCTGTGCAAAAGATCGTAACAGTTTTACACGTTTAATTCACTTTGCGCCAAAGGCGACATTTTGTAGTCTACAACTAAGTAGTCTGCTAATTAAGGAAATAAAATATGAAATTATACTAATAAGTCATGAAGAAATAAAAAGAAGAGGTCTGTAAAAAAAAACTCCATTTTCACATACGACCATTCGCAATTACAGTAGCCATAATTCAATTTAAATCCCTATGCGTCTGTAGAAATTCTTAATATTTCGTTTAAAATACATAGTGTTACAACAAATACATTATATTATATAATTTAATAAAAATAAATGCAAAGTATGATTGTAAACTCCTCGTAAGGTGCATCGTTCATTTTTTTTTTTTTTTTTTTTTTTGCAGGTATCAGTTAAGTTATAATAGGAACTTTAACGAAAACGAAAATGGCGGTCTTTGCCAATTTAAAAATTCACTATAAGAATCCATCTGATTATTGTCAAATTCATGACAAGTACGAATTAAGATCTGAAGAGGAAAAAAATATATATATATATATATATATATTGTTGTAGATCGAGTTTGATACTTAACGGTTATTTTTTCGAGTTTTAAAATTTAAATAAAAATAACTCACAGGTAAAGGCTTGCTGGTGAATATTCTCGGCAATTCCTTTTCGTTCCACATCCCGTATTCCTTCATGATTGCTGATTTCTTGTAAGGTAGTGCGGACGACAAAGAAGATAGTGTGTCAAATAAAAAATAATAGTGAAAACACTGAAGTAAATAGCCTTATCACTCAAGTCAGGTTACTCGCTTGAAGGTGAGAATGATAATCTGTAGGACGCGGGACCTACTAGCCGGTTATATAGAGTGTCCCACTCCGCTACAGACCGTTCAGGAAACATCGCACTCCGGGCGAGCCCCCACCTTTCACCGTTGGACTCTTGACGTCACGGATTCCGTTCGCGTGGGTCAGGTCTACTCAATGGAGTGTCACACCTTCTTCAGTGTGGGCCTTTCCCACTACCCAAAACCACATGCTAGAGTAACCTCAGCCTTGAATGGGGCAACTATTCAGTAATATGGAATAGTTTTTTGGTCATTCAATCAATCACTTCATCATTCTCTACCTTTGCTATCTGTATAGAACGAGATCATTATTTTTTTTGCACATAACGAAGTAATACAAAAA